GATCCGTCAGGTAACCTAAAAAGCAACGACATACTATCAAAGTTTAAAATAGATGTCTCGCTCAAATCCGATTATTGAAAAGGAACACATACTCACCAGACCTTTCGAATGATAATACTTACTTGCGGTAGATGTTCTTCTTATGAATAGTTTCTAGCATGATAAAAGAATATTACAAACAAAACAGATCTTGAAGCAGTTTTAGATGCCCTGCCGAATTAACAACACATTGGCTTTCTCTGACTCCTGTGAATTGGCCTTCTACACACTGTTCACGAAGAAGCCAATGAAATGTTTACCAAATTATTTTACGTACATCGAAATGTTTCGGCGACATGAGGATCATCAAATATATGCACAGCACAGCGTAAATGCTGTCCATCAGCTTCACATCGATCATGGATATCTGCTTGCTGCAAATCAAACCCATGCTGAAAGGAATGATGTACATGTTTCGGTCTCCCCATACCAGCTGAACGGTTATCAAGCTCCTGATGAAGCTTCTTTTGACTTATCCACTTGGCCACGATCGGCGAAAGATCTCTAGGCTTATAAGTCACGCATCTTATTCATACGGTTTCGGCATTCAAGTTCTGCATTCCACCCAAGCGAGATCTTTTGGGTCCGTTTCGCGAGTGTAATAGTTAGTCATCTTTCTCAGCTACATCAAAATACCGCTCTCAATTATGTCATTTATAAGTTCTTCATCTGCCATTAGGCCTTTGTGTTGCCTGTCTTTCATGGACTGTTCAAGCATTGACTTCCAATCAATGGTGTAAAAGGCAAACTGTGATTAATGAACAGAATCTGAGAAGAAAATCAAGCAACCTTTGTAACAGACTATCAATTATCCCAACAGAAAATGGCATTATTAAAATGGACGTTTGCATAGTCACGGTCATTATCTTCGGCTAACATGGTTCATAGTCAAAAATCCCAGGTCTCTTTTGTAGGCAGATGACAGAATAACCGGAAAATAAGAAAGCCAGTAATCACTGAGAAGTGCTCTGTTGATCGCAGAGTCACTTAATGCAAGCGGAACTTCAAAAGTAACAAATCGCAGATTTATTATATCTAACTTTGATTTTATTTAGGATAACATTTGGTTCTTTCCCTGATAAATGATATATTTCTTGTTGCAGAAAGATATCCTATGTACGTTTCAATCAGATATTAACTAGTTTTATATACCTGAATTAGTCGGTTGTCTGACCCTTCAAAACCTGATCTGAAGATCGTCGATCAACTGAAAATGCGGTAGCAGGATGGAACAACATTCAACCCCGCTTATTCTTCTTCAGCAGTTACGCTTCCGAGAACCCTGACTACCACGCTTAAAGGAGTCAAAACTGAAGCCAGAAGTATTAATGCAAACACGTTTTTTTACAATCTTACAAATCCACGCATAAGATTCCAGCGTTCTCGATTCATTTGCCCCCCCCCCCCGAAGCTTTGAAAGAAGCTGAGCATTCTGATTTAACCTCGAAAATCTTTGAACCCGTTACCAACAGAAAACAATTACTGTGAAAAAAACGCAAGGCGGAAACGACAGCCTGAGTCTGCAAAGTCCATGATCGAATGACACTCAAAAACTTATAACCGAAAGAATTTCAACTACTGATTACGTCGTCTAGCACTTGTCGATCAATCCTTCGAAAAAGTGTCTAAGCTGCGCACTATGTAGCAAGTTAGCTCATTTCGAAACACATTAGTTATTACAATTTTTTTCTTTGGTGAAAGGCCTTTTCGTGTAAAGTCTGGTTACAAACAATATAGAAAATTGATTGATTGTCTGACAAGGACATTATAACTAAAAACCAAGTGAGTAGGACTGGAGGCCACCACTTCCATTAATTCTGAAGGTATGGTGAAAACTGCTGTGCTCAGAGAAGTCTATCTCGGAACGAAGAATGGTGATTTGCTGTGAGACAAACGGAAAAACATCAGACGATGCCTGATAGGTAATATCTGAGAATGAAAAGAAAATAATACACTTCGCGATTCTTAAACGCTGAAGGCATGAAAGTAAAAGGGTACAAGAAACATGTCAAAACTCGTACATGTATGCGGTCAACACTCTCAACAGATACAGAGCGATGCGGTCCTGGGAGAGTCTATGAGAGAACGGTTTTGAACATATTCCATATCATATTTTAGGGCAGTTTCAAAAACCGAACCGCCTGCGGTCTGCTGGTTCTTTAGACGATTTTTCCATTTTCATAGTTAGAATCAATATATTTTTAAACTACTTGAATCAGCCCATTTTCAGAATGCTTCACCGTTGGAATTGGCGCAGACCTCAATTTTATAATAGACATAGGATAATTGATTCTGTAAATGTCTGAAATACGGCTGCTTTCAAGATGATAATCTTTATTTCCGTTCCTATCGTCTGATTTTCACCATATCGTCACGTATCATCTCTCTTAACTTGCTTATGTCCATTTCCTTGTTATTTAATAGCAATCTAGAAACATTATTTATAACGGTCAGACAAAATTGATCTGGATTACTCAGCTATTTACGCGATGGTAATTAGCTTTAGACGATGAATACAAAACTACAGTAACCATAGTTATGTGAACCTCCGTCTGTTCATGCTATGACGCTCATTGTCGTTTGAAGCTCAACAACCAAATGAGGCATCTACAGCATGCGGTTTATAGTTTTCTTGGCAAGAACATGCACGCGGTCTACAGCAAGTACTCATTTAGCTACTTCGACTAGCACAAAGATGAGTGATCCACTAGCGAGCATCGCGAATACCTGTTAAACTGAATAAATACAAGATTCCATATTTCTAACACGTCCGGATCATCCCGGTTGACAAGCGGCGCCGCGTTGCGATTGCCGATTCGATCGTAGTGGATTTCGGAGCACGGACCACAGGGACCGACGTCGCCCATCTCCCAAAAGTTGTCCTTCATGCCAAACGGCAGGATTCGCTCTGCTGGTAGTCTATCAATCCCATTTTACTTTGGCATATTCAGGAATTGCAACGGATTTACTCACCCCAATTCCAGCCACGTGTCTCGGCATTCGAAGTCCGCCTCAAGGTTGGCTTCGACATTTCCCCCAAAATAGGTAACGTACAGTCGATCCTTTGGGACATGAAACACGTCCGTCAACAATTCCCACGCCCACGTACATACTTCTTTCTGCAAAACCAATGTTAACAATCAGAGGAGAACGAATTAATCGAAGGTCCCTTACTTTAAAATAGTCTCCGAACGACCAGTTCCCCAACATCTCAAAGAACGTATGATGATACACGTCCTTTCCCACGTCGTCCAAGTCGTTGTGCTTGCCACCCGCACGAATGCACTTCTGTGTATTCACCGCACGCACCAGTTTCGACAAATCGCTGTTCGGATTGGCCAGCCCAAGGAAAATCGGTTTAAACTATAAACAAGGAGGTAATGAGCTAAAATGGCGCATCCGCTCTTTATGACAACCTAGATCGAAACGAAAATTTTTAAAACATAAAATGATCTATTCTTATGCAACTAGGGGCATCGTCCAATGTAATCTCGATCATGAGCATAAGCATGGAGAGACATACTTACCATGCTGAATATATCTTATCATGACCACCTACAGAATAGATAAGACGAATTGAACATCCGGAAAATGTTTAATACATGAAATAGAGAGAAAAATAACGTCTTTTGGGTTGCGGCTCATGGCTAATAAAAAGAAATGAGAAAGTATTTCTGCCTAAACTTGCGTACTGATAGAGTGACTGTTCTGACCAGAGGATGAACATCAGTCCATCTTGTGATCTATGCATCAAAATATATGGGGGAAAACCATGACCACAACTCAAAAGAACAAACTGCTTCGATACCACATCCGTTAGAACAAGGGTGTCTATTCGAATACACACCAGCAGCATCTGTACAATTCTAAAGATACACGCATCTTCGCATAACTTTACATCGAGTCCATCATTCCATAAGAAAAAGTTTCTGACAAGTCAATATTCACTTTCTGAACAGTTTTGTTAACAGGAATTATGCTGATCAATGGCTTCGTCCGGCAATGTCCTCAGTCGAGCAGTGGTAGGCAAATCTGTCGTGATAGGGGTGTACCGCAGAGTGTACCGCAGCTAGTAATGCTACAGAAATCGTAGCCACTATAATACGTTCTGAATGCAACATGTATGTGGAAAAGCAGTTACGATGTCTAATAATCACATAATTTCCCGGAACCTATGTTCTACTTTAAATTGCACCTGACTAGCAATGTATTTATTTACCCTACTAAAACGAATCTGCATAAACTTCGATCGGTTCTGAAACCTCTAACCAGAGGAAGTTATATTAAACTTGATCAGATTATACAATCTATCATAAACTGGGAAACCTTGTTTTAATCGATCCTCTTTACCCCCGTACCAGACTCTCTCAAAATGCACTTCAACGTTTCAAACCACAAGGCTCGAATATGCCAGTATCTAAGAATCGCTTGGGCTTTGCAGAATGAGAAGAAAAACGTTGAACCTGCTCGAGCAGGTCCCATCTTGCTATTGTCCCTTAAATAACTTTCTATCCATTAGTACCTTTTTTTGCATCATTGTTCCTGCTTGTTTATCTTACTGCCATTTTGTATTATATCAGTACAGTTACGTTAATCAGAAAAGTGACTATTGAAATGCCATCCTATGCTAGTTCTACCTGCTCTCCAGATTTGATTGACTTTGATTGACTGAATTCATATCTTAGCAGCATGAACTTTACTAAAAATCTCATACCAGGTCATTTATTTTTTTCCTCAATAAAGGAAGGTTCTGAAGAGAAAAAATGGCTGGTTCAGCATACCACGTGGGGTGCAGGGAAGCCTACATCGTTAAGATGTGACTACGAACTTACAAAATAACATAAATTCATCAGAATATCCACCTAGAGTCTGATGTATATAACAGCAGTTATGGTGTCGGTAACTGCGCGTTACATCTAGATCACGTAAGAACAGGTGCTGATTACCAGACCTAGATCATGAAACCAGGGATAATCGATAATAATCTTGACAAAGTACTCCTTAACCGGAATTAAGGTTGAGGTCTTGTTGTTAGTTGAAGTTGAGGTTTCTGTTGTTTAAACAGGATCATGAAAGAAAGTCATTTTTAAGAGGCATTTATACATACCAAGAGTGACATCGACGTTCTAGAAGGCTGCCAACAATCAAAGTTTCTGATACCGCCGGCAGTAATAACATTCCATCACGTTACCGGATCATTACCGCTCATTCGCACCGTTTGCTTGGCTCTAAATATAATGTAAGGAATCGTTTGAGCAGACAACAGCTCTGTGAAATTTGAGCGTCTACATCAAATTGGTTGCAATACTGCATGTGGCTCAGCTTAGTCATATGGCATTACATGCATTCACTGCCGATGTTCAAATTCTATGGAGCCGTGGCCTGTTCAAACGATCCTCAGGCATCTAGAAGCAAAAGAATGGTGCGAATACGCCATGCTAATCGAGAGAACTCCCAGTAAACGTTGTTGAGATTGTCTTGTTCAGATACTCATGAGATATTTGGATCAAAAGGGTTAGTTTATAAATGACGACTACTGAATGAAAGAAAGGATGGAAAACGTGAAACAGTTGGAATGTCGATCTTCCCTACACTTTCATGACGTGGCCATGTCTGATGCCGTTCTTTTCAAGAAATTAATTAGGTGTCGCTGATGTGCACTACGTCCATGCCATCAGCTAGGCGCAGCTTGTTTTAAAGGCAGATTCGACAGCAGCTGTTTTGTGCAGTGTGTAGTCCCGTGTTTTCTTTCGAAGTCTAGTGATCAGGGTTCCAACTTGGGACTTCTCAGATCTGAACTGGATGCCCTACCGGCTTAGAAAATGCCATCTACTGGATATTACTGGAAACCACCAAGTAATGTCAAACATCACAGCACTGATAATTGACCCCGTCATCAGATTACCTGATTCATTCCTGCATTAGCGAACAGTAAGGTTGGGTCATCGTAGGGAATGACCGAGGACGAATGGCAGTATTTATGGCCACGCTTATCGACAAAATAGTCGATGAACATCTTCCGAATCTGGTTGGAAGACAGCTTGTTATCCATGGCAGTTGCTGACACCTAAAACACACGGAATAAGCATATAAATGCATCCAGAATAATGATTCTATCACAAGAGCACCAGCATAGCATATGACAATCTAAGTTTAAACTTTTTCCATTTAAGAATATGCTTTAACATAGATTCATTCGATGATTCGAGGTAAACAGCAAAGTACTTAGCTAATCTCAATACAATGAACAAAATAGTAAATCAAACTGGAAAGGTTACAAATCTTGCAAAGGTAAAAACTTTATCGATTTCTTTGGTCATCTGAAGTAGGCTAAAGAAGACTGATTATGTGCCAGCGAAGCAATAGTGGTAGACAGGTGTCTCTACTAAGCATCAAAAAGCACCCAAAAGAAATCTCAAATCAAAAGCCATAACAATTAGAGCCGAGACATCAGTATCTTAACGAAAGCTGATCTTTCCGGTGAAGGATGAGCACTTATCAGTGACGTTACTGGCCTATTTGAAGGCGTAGTAAAAACTGTGTGAAAGTCTTTACGATTTAGTGTCGCTGCATTTAGTAAAACAAGCCTTTAATAGGTATTTATATTTACGTCATTACAAAAGCAATAATTTCATTTTTGAAACTTGCAGCTGTGTCAGCAGCAATACGAAATAAGATAATAAAATATTTAATAACCCCGGAGATTTCCTATCAAACGCAGGAATTAATTAATTTCCATTGGAGACAATATCGTTTAATTACGCTGCGCCATTCAGGTATCGACTTCCTGAACGATAGTCTATCATTCATTTATTTTCTACGAAGTTATTAGTGAAAGGCAAGTTGTGAAAGCCTGAAGATGGAAAAGCTGCTGAGACTGATAAAATCCGCCCTGAAATGCTCAATGTATTTTGCGAACAAGACATGGGCTGGTTTACAACTGCCCATCAAATTGCGATGACTGCGGGAAAGACACCAGCGGACTGGAAAACGGGAGTTATTGTATCCGTATTCAAAAAGGGAGACCACAAGGAATACTTCAATTATAGCAGTATTACGTTAATGAGCCTCCCAGAAAAGGGAGGTCTACGCAAAGGTTCTAGAAAGGAGCTGCCGCGAAACAACTGACCTCAAGATACAAGAACCGCAGTGTGGCTTCCGGCTCGGACGAAGTACCTCTGACCATATATGTGCCCTGCGCCAGATTCTTGAGAAATTGTGGGAGTACGCCCGTTCAGTGTATATGCATTATATAGTTGAACTAGAAAAAGCCTATGATCGGATCCCACGCAACAGTGTGTGGACATGCCTTCGAGCATACGGGATAGATGGCCAGCTCCTAAGGGACATTCAATCACTGTATTCTTATAGCAGTTGCTGCGTCAGAGTTAACAGCGTCAAATCGAAAAG